AAGCACTGTCTGACGCGTCTGCCTCCGCGACCCGAAAGGAGAAGCGGGGATGGAAGATGAAGATGAAGATGAAGACCACAGGCAAAGCGACAAACAATTTCCATGCGCACAAAACGTTACGGCAAAGTACCTGACTGTTTCGAGCAGCAGGTCGATGAAATGGTCGTAATACTGGGAGGGCGAAGAGGCCTTCGCGATGAAAATCTAAACTGATAAGCGTAAACTATTTAACATATTCATTTGGCACACTTTACTTTGTTATAAGTACCAAGCATAAGACACTGCTCTAATTTCACCGGGAAAACAATATAGACATTCCTCGCAACAATATCAGGATCAAAGCGCTCAACTTCCTAAAAAATAAATGATAAACTTTTAATAAATCACTCAAACAGGTATTATCGTCTTTTGGCAAAATTTTTAGCTTAGCTTCAAAGAAGTACTGGGATCCGAAAAGCTCAATGGTAAAGATCAAAATGTTGTTAGCTAATGAAACAGATAAAATGCATCTGTGATCTGTATGACTCATATCAATAAACAGATTTAGTTTCTGAATAGCGCTAAAGATCACAGAGCCATCACCTTTTTAAATGACCTCTTAGATATCTGAATAAGATCTCTCAGATCTGATATTTTTATTCAGATATACAAATGAGCGGTGCAACTATACTATGCAACAGGATTTGGTTATTTTTGCGCTTACGGCCATCCGCGTGAAATAACAGCTGCCACAGAATTGGCAGAAAACCTTGTAGGTTGAATTAGAGCACAATGCTTCTGTTGAATTTCCTAGAACGGGTTGTTTCCAAAAGAAAAGCCGTCACAATCACACCCTTTTTAAAATTCATTAAAGTTACTTCGTTCTTTATCACTACGACATCACTGTAGCTGAGCAGAGGTTGATAATTCTCTAAGTCAAACTTATTGTTAATTATTAACTCTTTGTCCGTAGTCAAGCGTAGGGAGTGGCATTCGCCTGCAGCTGCACGGAAGTCGTAATCTACATTTACTCGTGACATAAAGTACTTTCAAAGCAAACCTATATGATCCTATGGAGAGCTAAACAAGAATATATTTACATTTGACATCCTTCAGTCGAACCAGCTTCTTAAATGACCTCAAGAGCTGCCGAACACTACCACCTCCACCTCGTTTACTTCTAAGAAGGCCAGTGAGACACGGGGCCAGACGTGTTACTAGCTTATCGCCTAATGAAATATTTTATCAGTATGATTCGCAACGCATGAACGAAATTATCTATCTTCTATATACTAATAAAACAATATTTACTTCAATAATGGATCAGTGTACATAACAAGAGTAAAACCATTGCTTCTGTATGGAGCGGAACGTTCGGCTACCCAGAATAC